CCCTCTCTCTCTCTCTCTCTCACACACACACACACACACACACACACACACACACACACACACACACACAGAGAAGAAGAGCACAGCACACAAACACACTGTCTTTAGCGCACGTTTAAAGCGCTCTTCAGCTGGATCAACGTAGAAGATATGTGAACACAACTGGCCTATTCTCGCTCTCTCTTTCCCACACACTCACAGAGAGGAGAAGCACGCACAAGTGCAGAGCCAGTGCAGCTTTCAGCAGGACAGTCGTGCGCTGGTTCACTTTGACATCTGTGTCATGTAAATGCACGTTTCTCATGCCCAATGCTGTGCATTTGCATGTTCAGCATCATCTTCCAGGTGAGCGTCACCCATCCGCCCTGGAGGGCCATGACTGGAGCTGACAAGGTCAAATAAGGTGTTTATGCATTCTCTCTCTCATTCCCTCCCCCATCACTGGCCACATTTACATTAACATAATTTTCTGATTAAGGTCCATATTGTGATTAAACCTTAAACCAAAAGGATGTTTACAAGCTGCACAGTGATCAGAATATTCCTGTATACAGCAGAATAATCCAAACAATTCTAATTTATGTCCACAAGTCAGCATGAAATGAAAATTCACCCTATTTTCAAAATGCTTATTGATCTTATTATGAACAATTCATCCATGTATATTTATTCATTCATTCATTCACTCATTCATTTAGACCTCATAATGTTTAATTAAATATAACTCGACTTTCTGGTAAAAACATCAGTTCCCTCTCTCATGACGTTTGCTGTATTTTCCTATTGTTTATTCCACTTAAACCTCACTCCTTTCTTACAATCGACTGCAAGCATGCATTCAGATCTGCCTGAACCTATTTAACAACCAATGGATAGAACTACATTTTTTCCAATAATCCTTTTCACTCGGACATACGTCACAATACTGAAGATCTGTTGCTATTTTAAGTTGTATCGCGACTTACAATTGCAACATATTTCGGATTTCAAAATGTAGGTCATGACATTTTTTAATGTTCATAAAAGTTAAGTCTCCTCCTTGCTCGAAAAATATGTTTCTTCAATTCCTCAACTATCCTCTCTCTATGACCCAGAAATAAATTTGTTCAGACGTACACATATATAAATGAATGTTCAGTTATGACTGATATCACAAATACACAAACACAAAAATGTTGCTTGGTATAGGCATATGCAAAGTGGTCTCATTCAGATTTCTAGAAACTGGAATACTGAGACATCTTTACACTGCCTGGTTAAGGCTGCTCTGTGCCTGCTCAAAATTCTGCATAAAAACCAGACTAAATTAAGCCTGCTCTGACCCACCTCAGACCCAGTATCAAAACATAGTTGTATTTGTTGTGTAAATGCTTTTACGCCACATCTGAGCAGCATTACACAGTCTGTGTAAAGACACCTTAAATGCCACTTGAGAAGCGCTTCTGTGCCACCTTCTGTACACTGGATTCATTTGGTTATGGGAATCAGGTTAAAGGAATAGTCTACCCATAAAATGTAATTTTTTTTCTAATTTACTCACCCTCATGTTGTTCCAAACCTTTATGCATTTTATTCTTCTGCTGAACAATAAAGATTTTTTATTTTATTTTTTTTCCATAAAATGGAAATCAAAGGGAACCAATACTATTTAATTACTAACATTCTTCAGAATTCCTTATTTTGTGTTCCACAGAAGTAAGAAAATGATACAGGTTTGGAACAACAATGATATAACGAAATGAAACTTATAAAAGAAATGTAAAAAATCGGATTAATGTAGGAATATTCTCGTGCATGTAAATAAAATCACGGCTACATACAGAAATATTCAAAAGCCATAATGCTAAATAAATAGGATGTCTGAATTAGCACCATTGAGCAGAGATTCTGTGTGCAACTAGTGGACACTTAACTATCCCATGAGGCCATGGGTCAAAGAACATCCAGGTCAAAGGACGATGCCAACATGGTGGATGTATTACATCCGGGAATATATTTATACTACACACATGCATACTTAAAGAACATGCTTCATCAATGCTCAAGAATTCTGTGAATTACATGATTTAACAGATATCTGTGATTTGACTGCAGAAGATGGATTTGTTAATGAGGAACCATTGTGAGAAACCCAGTGAACTCACTCTTTCTCTCCTGTTCTCCGTGCTCGCTTACTCTTTCCACCAGTGAGTGAGTCCGACCAATCGCTTATCTCCCACTGTGCAGTGGCAGGACCTTTCCCAGCAGCGCCGGCCAATCAGAGATCAGGGATGCAGGAGCAGCAGGGTATTAAGGAGGATTATTTGGACAGTTCAGGGTTTCCCCAGACTTGGCAATGAAACAACAGGTCAAGACTGCCCTCTGTGCCTCACACTGGTATTGCACACTTACTAAAAAAATTAATGCATGCTGTGCATGAATACAGCAGCATGCCCAGCAAAAACAATGAGATTCAAGAAATATCATGGAGATAACCCTTAAACTAGACTGCTGCCTGGCAACCATAGCAATTATTAAGTGAACTGTCATTCTCTTCTTTCTCTCCCCGTCTCCCTCAATCTTTCCCAAAAGAGCCCTCTGCTGTCTCATGGGATATCTAGCATTGCATAACCACAGCCAAATATGGCAACACTCTAGTATATAAACCTGAGCTGATTCCCGTCTCTAAAAGTCACATCTAGACCCTGAGTACATCGCAGGACTCATTACCATCTCTAAAACACTCCAGCCAAGTAAATGTTATTTGCCCTTAGTATAAGTGAGCCATTTCCATCCTCTTCAGATCTGAACCAGAAAACGTGTCTGTTCATAAGCACTGTAGGTTAAAGTGAAGGATCGAGTTCATTTGTTAAATAAAAGGAGAGAGGAGCCAATCGTATGGCTACATTGCCACAATAAGACCAAATGGTATGTATAATTTGATCTTTTGCCAGTGCAAAGTTCCACCCACCTTTTATTGTTGCCAACTCAGACAAGCTCACAGGAATCAACTAGAGAGATACACATAAATACATTTTAAATATAATTGGATATTATCCATATGTGGGTTTAGAACAAAATGTTGATCTGTTACTTAAAGAAATGCCACAAGTGCTCCTATTTTTTCCTAGGATACTAACTGCTGTCTCATGTGTACATGTGTAAAGCTCACCAAGTGACTTAAAAAAGTAGTCAGTGATTTATTTATTTGTGAAAGAACAGATGGAGGGTGTGGGGTAAAGGAGGGGTGGAAAAGGGTTCAGGAGGAAGTAGGCATTTGCTCCGGATGGAGGAGTAGGCCGAGTCCTCAGAAAACCAAACCGTGATCAGGACACAGACTAATCCAATAATGCCTGGACCACAGCCTTGTGGTTGATCCAAAACTACAACATTGCTAACAGACTAATCTTTTATTTCAAAACCAAACCAAGCTAACATAAAACACAGGGCCTATATAAAATGATGTATTATAGTCCATACAACAACTACAAACAAAAACAATAACTGATCATCTATGTTTCTGTAGTGAATTTTTTGATTAATCCAAAGACTTACCTTATCTTTGGTCTTGCCTGGTCCATTGGTTCTCTTTTGAGTGTTACAAGCTCTTGGTGCATAAAGAAGATCTGTAAAGTTCCAAAGACTAAAGTCTCAAATCCAAAGAGATATTCTTTATAAAAGTTAAGAGTCAACCATGCCTACCTAAAACGGCTCGTTCTAACACGCCCCCAACGTGTCTACGTCACGATGAGGGAAGATTTGCATAACACCGCCCAAATGTTCACGCAAAGAAAGAAGGCGTAACTTTTATTCTCGCTGTAGTATTGTTGTTGCCGCCGCCCCCATGCCATGGAGACCCTGTGTGTTTCGTTGTGAAAGCGAAACTACTTTGTTTGGCCTTCCAAAAGAGGACGATATCCGCTTCGTCATGCCTGGAGCTGATCCGTGCTGGTCGCTGAGGAAATACATCAACTT